TAGCACCTGGTGATAACCAGGAATAAAATGCTCCCCTGGTGGCTCAACAGTAAAGAATCCACCTGCCAATGCAGGAGACATGGGTTCCATCCCTGGGTCGGGAAGATCCCCTGGAGAAGGAAATGGCAAACTGTATATTTTATTCCAATATAGAATTAATTTACAATATATGATATGTAATATACACTAAAATTCTATTTTGTGTTAATTTCTAATGTTTTTTAAAGTCTGTAACAACATATGCAAAAATATTAATGGTGGGTAGGAGAACTATCTTAGCACTTTTGTGTATTTTCCAAATTTCTTATAATCCACACATCTTTCTTGCTGTGTTCAGGGAAAAAGTGATTATGGGAAGAAAGCATCCAATTCCTCAGAAGGGTGCTGGGAGAAGACCCCCCTTCCAGGCTCTGCTCAGCTGCCCTCGCAACATAACCAGAGTGGTAAGATGTTCCACACGAGGTGTAAAATTAAGAACTCCTAACTGGTGAACATTTTTGCTTTTCTATGAATTTGCCTGGAAAATGGCCCAACTGTCACAGTCTGGAAAACCATGCAGCCTCTGCTTATCCGCAAAGGGCCTTGCTTTCAACTGCAGAGCCAATGGTCCTCAATGCTGCCTTCCTGAGACCCGTGTCGACTCCTGGGTTGGCGGGGTGGGGAAGGCAGGTGAATGAGAACAGCCCAGGGGGCCTTATCCGTGACTGCTGGTGGTCACACAAGACACAGCAGTAGTTCCACACCCAGAGCAGAAGGCTGGGAAGGGGAGCACCTCGTGGGATTTCCACAGGGAAACTGGTGGGGATATGGGTCTTCCGAGACCACCAGTTGGTCCCCAGGCTGCTATCCGTCTGACCTGTCCTCTTTCTGCGGCAGCGGTGGTGGTGGTTGTTTAGTCGCTAAGTCATGTTTGACTCTTTGTGACCCCATGGACTGGAGTCTGCCAGGCTCCTCTGTGCAAGGGATTTCCTAGGTGAGAATACTGGAGTGGGATTTCTTTCCATTTCCTTCTCCAGGGAATCTTCCCAACCCAGGGATCGAACCTGGGTCTCCCTCATTGGCAGGCGGATTCTTTATCACTGAGCCATTGATAAAGAGATCAGGAGAACCTCTTTCAATGGAATAAGAATTCAAGACGAGACCAGAAGGAAACAAAAGGAGTGGCATGCGGGGGAGTGGTTAGGTGTGGGGAGTGGGTAGGAGACAGCAGGGAGGGCAGGTGAGCAGTTCTTCATCCTCAGAAGAGAACCCAGCAGCACAGGCTAAAGCCCTCAAGAGGGAAAGGGCTTGACCAGAAGTGGGAGACCCCGTTTCTCTTCACTGAACAAGTTCTGTGTGTTCAGCTAGCCCACCAGTCTGACCTGCATGACAGCAGCTCCACCCGCCTCTGCATGAGGACCTCCTGAGCTCCCCACACAGTGGATCCCACCGCTGGGCAAGTCTACTGCACACTCCTTTCCTAAGAACAGCCGAGCACTGAGCTCACACTCACAGTGGAGTTGTGGTTCTGGAAAAGATACAAAAATGACTTCCCCGCGCATCTCAGCACATGCCAAGGATGAGGCAGTTACAGAGGTGACACTGGGGGACTCAGGGGATTCCAGGTGTTCCACTCTCAGGGAGCTCACATCCCCCAAGGAAAGGGCTTAGAGAAGCCGCTGGGAGGCTGGCAAAAACCACTCTTCACTTACTTCTCCAGCCCTGGTTGCTCAAATCCACGTGGCCCACGGCCTCCCCAGCAGCTCCTCTCTGGTGTCTCCCAGGCACCTCCACCCTAGTGTCAGTGCAGGAGCCTCACGGACACCACACAGCCACATGCACCTCACTATCTCCCCATCACCTCCTACCACACAGGTGTCAGGACTCAACCTCAACTGTTCTTTCTCCAAACCCCATACCATATAGCTATGGTGCTAACCCAAAAAAAGGGCTTATGCAGGCAATGTGGCCAAGGATATACCTGGTGCCTCTGGAGCTGCCCAGCACGGCAATCTGGCCTCCAAATAGATCTAAACTCCATCCCCTTCCCTCCATGCTCACCGCCGCCCTTGTCCATGTCAGCAAGATCTAACAGGATGCTGGCTTCTCCTCTTGCCTCCGTCCAGTCCACTCTCCATACAGCAGTCACTGCAGGTGGTACCACGTACCTCAACTGCTCAAGACCCTTCAAGCTCTCTATTGCTCTTAGCATCAAATCTCAACCCCTTATCCCTATCCATGCCTCCCATGAGTGGCTTTTACCCCCTTCTCCAACCTCCCACATCACCATCACCCCTGCTCACCCACTGTCCTCTGGCCACCCTGGCCTTCTCTGGGTCCTCAAACCAGCCCAGCTCTTCCCAACTTCAAGCTAACATAGTACCTAGCAACTGACACATACTAGTTGCTCAATAAATCGTGACTGAGAAATAAATATATCTCTTTTTCAGATATCACTCCTGTTTTTTGAAGAAGCTAAAAGGTTATTGGTTCATCACTGGACTCCCTGGCAGATGCCGAAAGGGTACAATTTATATAGCTTTTTAATGGAAAAGAAAAGACCGTATGTTTTACCCACAAGTGGTCAGGAAGCAAAACTGACTTTTTCTTAAGGCATGGTATTTCACTGGTTCTAAATGCAATTGTCTAAAATGTCACTGAAATGGAGACACATTTAACAATTGATAGTATGTCAGAGTTGAATTAGTTAATTTTTTTTCTTGGAAGCTCATAAAACAATGATGTATCTTGCCATCATCTCAAAGAAAGGCAATCCCAAAGAATGCTCAAACTACCGCACAACTGCACTCATCTCACACGCTAGCAAGCTAGTGAATAGCTAGTGAAGTAGCTCAGTTGTGTCCGACTCTTTGCGACCCTGTGGACTGGAGCCTACCAGGCTCCTCCCTCCACGGGATTCTCCAGGCAAGAATACTTGAATGGGTTGCCACTGGGCAAGCCCCATAGCCTACATATATAAATGTACATTACCTCTGATTTTATTCCTATTTCCAATGTAAACCTATATTGGACTAAAATATCCTCATTTAATGTCCCTTGCTTTTTCTAATATAACATTTAAATCCATTAACTTAACATTGATCTTTAAGTAGCTGAACAGGTTGAACTTGCAGGCTTCGGTCGCAAGCAAACTGGCAAGGCTGCTTTCAAACTCAGCATTCTGGACAGGAGACTCATCTGTTCTTCCCAGACTCCCTGTTTATGCAAATGGAACCTCCATCCTTGGAGCTACTCGGGCTCCTCACCTCTGTCTGTGTCTCCCTTAGGCTTGCCCCCAATCTCAGTGGTGCAAGTCTGAGCTCCTCCACCTGCCCAACAGTACTGTCCTTCTTCTCTGTGTTCTAAGCCAGGGCCACTAAGTCTCACCTCCCCAGCACCTGCCTCATCTCAACCAGGACTCTCTGCTTCCAGTCTTGCTCCCTCATTCGCATGTTACCTCAACTGAGCTGACAAATTGATCTTCCAGAAGCACTGTGATCATGTGACTTCCCTGTGCAATACCATAGAGAATTCTCTTAATGAGGAACGCGGGAGTCCATATTCTCAGTCTATCCACTCTAAAGCCTTGTTGTTGTTCAGTCCTGTCCAACACTTTGCGACCCCATGGACTGCACCAGGCCCGGTTTCCCTGTCCTTCACTATCTCCTGGAGTGTGCTCAAACTCATGTCCATTGAGTCGGTAATGTCATCCAACCATCTCATCCTCTGTTGTTCCCTTCTCCTCCTACTCTATAAAGTCTGGCCACTGACAAAACGCTCCTGTGAAATCTCCGGCTCTCTCTTCCACCCCTGGAGCCTCAATCACTCACTGCATCTGCGCATGCTTAAAGTCCGCCGTGACTCACACCATCCCTTCCACCTGCAAGTGGTTTCAGCACCTGGGTCTGTGTGTTCACACTTCCAACTCTTCAAAGTCCAGTTCTAAAGTGCCCAGTCTTCAAAGGCTTTGCCTTACCACTTCAAATGGAAGGGATCCTTCCTTTCTAACTTTTGAGGACACTTTTCTTTCTTTGCTAGATACTGCGCGTGTTTGCCCCCCACCCTGCACGCTACGCACTCCGGCTACCCGCTACTGGGAATTCCCCGAGGGCTGACCTCCGTCTGACTCCCCCGCACCCGAACACCACACCATGGCCATCGCAGTCACTGCACAGCAACCAAAACTTTGTAGCAATCAGCCGAGCTGTCCACCTTTCCATTCTCGGACACCTTTCCGGCTGTCCTATTCACAAGATAGGGCATTTCTCCAAACACAATAGATTTCTCTGCTACTATTTCAAACCATGTCGCTATTCCCACTGAATCAGGACCTCTTCTCATTTTTTTGAAATCTGTCCAGTAAGCAGAGTTGTCATAGACCGCACCCTGGGAGCTGGTCAGCCTTATAGAGCAGAGGACGTTGAATTGGCCTGGGCTTCTCCACGCTGTTTCTACAGGCTGTGTGCGTGTGTCCATTAAAGATGGGGACACACAGTAGCTAGTCGCCAAGGGATCAAAGGACCAGAGCTTGAGACGCGGGGAGGGCAGGGGACCATCCCGGAGTTCCACCCTGTTGAATCCTGGCTCCGAACTTTTCCCTCCGTCAGCGCGGTACCCTCCTACCCGTCCCGACCGGCTGACGCCTGATGCCACAGGGGCAGGGGCCGGAAGAGAAAAAGGCGCTGGATGGGGAAGGCGAAGGTGGATATTTTCGGAACTTCAGGGGATCCCGGACAGGCGCTTCTGGTTCCCAGGGATGCGAGGTCGGCGTGCGCCGCTCCCGGATCGAAGGGGACGCAGTCCCGAGACCGGGATGGGCAGAGACCGGGATGGAGATCCTGGAGCTGGTGCTGAGGCTGCCGCGCAGAATGACAGCGCCCACCCCCCACCACCCGGGAACGGGGGTGTCGAGCTCCCCGGCTCCGCGTCCCCAGGGTCGCTCGGCGCGCCCAGCCCCTCCGGCCCGCTCCGGCCCCCGGCAGGGCCCGCGGGCTGCGGCGGGGCCCGCGGCCGCTACTCACCCGGAGGGTTGACGGCCGCCGGGGTTGCCATCTTGCTTGGGAGGCTGGGCGCGCGCCGGGCGGGGGCGCGGAGCGGGGGCGGCGCGGAGCCGGGCGCCCCCCGGGGCAGGCGTGGCCGGCGTAGGCCTAGGCGCCACCGCCGCCGCCCCTCCGCCGCCCCTCCGCCGCCACACAAAGGACGGCGCGGGCGGGCGCTGCTCCGCGCTCTCCCGCCGCCCGGCCGTCCGCGCCCCCGCCTCTGTCGCCTCCGCCCCCTCCCCGGCCTCCTTCTCTGGCCTCAGCCTTTGTCACGCGGCGGGGGGCGCCCGGCCGCCGCTCCCAGGGCCGGGCCGCAGCACCGCGAGACTTGGGGCGGCGGGCTGCCGGACCCCCGAGTCGGGGGCCGCCCCCTCGGGGCCGCGCAGGTGCCCAGGCTCGGGCTGGAGGCGCGCCCCCTCCCCGCTCTCCGGGTCCGAGTCTCCCCCCGCCCACCCCCACCCCGGGGGTCCCGGACACAGCTCGGAGGGGCGCTGTCCCCGCGCCCGGGGGCCGGGCCCGAGAGGGTGGGGGGCCGCCCATTAAGATTCAGAGGGAAGATGGAGAGAAACAAAGGCGCCCCAGTGGTGCCCACTTAGCATGCCGGCGCCGCGCCGCTCGGCTCCCAGGGCCGAGACTCCTAAGGCTCCTGGCACCTCCAAGGCCACGGGCACGGAAGGACAGCTGCCGAGGGCACCCTACGAACACCAGACCCGGGAAACTGTAGGGTTCGGCCCTTAGAAAGGCTGTCAGCTCGACTTTCCTTTCTGCACGGTAACTGTCTTCGGTTATCACCCAAAGTTGTTGCAGGAGCTTTTACACAACCACCTGAGAATTTAAGAGTCTCTGAGAGCTTTTGTTTGCATATCCTGGTGAAGTTAGCCATAGGGAGCTGGGAGGGACTGTTTCTTCTCCAGAAAACACGGTTACTCATAGGAAGGAGATGGCACCCACTGAGAAGGCTCCAGTGAAGAATGAACCCCTCCCAGGTGAGACCCACAAAGGGCAAGACGGCCTCTTACTGTGGACACGTTTGCAAAAGCATCAGACTGTCTTAAATCCTTACAAAGAAGCACTTCGAGGAGAGGGAGGGGGCGAGTAGAGAAAAAAAAAAAAAGCTTGGGATGTTATTTTCAAATCAGCATTGTCTTCCAGGGGAGTATTTGTCACTATTGATTTGACTAATAGGCGCTTAATGATATTCATTTGTTTATCGATTCCATGAAATTGAATATCTGCTGTGTGCCTGGACAAGGCGATGTACTGGGTGGACTGTGGAAAGAGAGCAACAGGGGCTCTGCCCTCCCTGGACTTCTGGTCTGCGTGGCCATGAGGGCAGCAGAATAAGGTGTTTGTATTCCAGAAGCACACAGCTGCTTGGGGCTCAGTGTGGCCACTGGTGAGTGAATGAATGGGGGCAGAGAGAGGCCAGAGTGATCAAGAACACACAAACTATTCTGAAAAAAATGAGCAGAATATGGAGAGGTGGAAAGAAAGACACTTCAAGGGAAAACTAGGGCACGAATACAACCAGCACCAAGGTTGGCCAGGCCGGTGGGACTTACCTGATGGTCCAGTGGCTAAGACTCTGACCTCCCAATGCAGGGGGCCCCTGGGTTCCATCCCTGGTCATGAGGCAGGAGATAGATGGGCCCCACGCTGAACAGTTTCTCCTCTATAGACAGAAACTCCATAACAGCAGAAATCCCGGGGCTTACCTGGTGGCTCAGTGGTAAAGAATCACCTGCCAGTGTAGGGGACCCAGGGTTCCATCCCTGATCCAGGAAGATCCCACATGCCATGGAGCAACTAAGCCCTAGCGCCACAACTATTGAGTTTGTGCTCCAGAGCCGAAAAGCCACAACTACTGAACCTACGTGCCCTAGCCTCCGAAATTTGCATGCCCTAGCTCCCATGCTCCCCAACTAGAGAAGCCACCACAATAAGAAGCCGGAGCACTGCAACTAGAGATTAGCCCGTGGTCACTTCATCTAGAGAAAGCCTACGTGCTGCAAGGAAGACCCAGTCCAGCCAAAAATAAATAAATAAAAATTATTTTTTTAGAAATAGCAGAAATTCCACAAAAACAGGATGACACAGGAGGCTGTGCTTGCTAAGTCACTTCAGTCGTGTCTGACTCTTTGTGACCCCGTGGACTGTAGCCCTCCAGGCTCCTCTGTCCATGGGATTCTCCAGGCAAGAATACTGGAGTGGGTTGCCATGCCCTTCTCTAGAGAATTTTCCCGACCCAGGGATCAAACCTGAGTCTCATGTCTCCTGCAATGGCAGGCGGGTTCTTTACCACTAGCGCCACCTGGGAAGCCCAAGGAGGACCCTGAGCCCTGCCCAAATAAGACATAAAAGACCACATATTCCTCATTCTCAAAGTTAAGGAGACCTTCCCAGCTATATATGCACAGAAAGTCTCCATGGTGGTCAAAAAGAGAGGGGGGCGCCACCCTAGTAAGTGGTATCAACCTACTCATAGGCCTCTTCACTAGAGTCTGTCTTGGCTAAGAGATGCCCACACGCACGTTGAAGGGATCCTGAGATAAACCAAATACAGAGTCAGTAGCAGGCAAATAAAAATGATTGGCCAAAGGAAACTGGGAAGAAATACCCCCTAAAAGTGATTCAAACTACCACCAGGGCGCATGACTCTCTCTCTCAGCCCACCTGTGTGTCTATCCACACCAACTGTCCTCTAGTAAATACTGGTTTCATGACTTTCTATCTCTGTGGGAACTCTTTTCTGTGAAGTCGAAGGGCCTTGTCACTGACCACTGACCTAGTGGCTAGGATTCGGTCCTTTTATCTCCAAGACCCCATCTCAATCTCTGGTGGGCAACTGAAGCCCCGCTTCAAACCACTGCAGGCCAAGGTTACCCTAGATCAGTCAGGGAACTACATCCCACGTACCACAACTATAAGACCAGGTGCCACCAAATAAATTAATAAATATTAAAAAATAATTTTAAAAAGGTAGACTAGGCCCAGACAGATATTGCGGTATAGAGAGAGAACAGCCTGGGTATCAGCTGGGACCACCCCATCCTTGTATCAAGTCGCTGCCCATGATTTTCCCAGCGTCAGTTAAATGAGAGCTCAGCTCCCTTCCACATCCTCCCAAATGGCAGTACACTCAAATACCCCCATGCACTTAACAAATACACAGGTCCTCCTTGATGGCTCAGTGGTAAAGAATCCACCTGCCAATGCAGGAGACGCAGGTTTGATCCCTGGGTTGGGGAGATCCCCTGAAGGAGGAATTAACAACCCACTCCAGTATTCTTGCCTGGAAAATCCCATAGAAAAAGGAGCCTGGGGGGCTACAACCCACAAGGTCACAAAGAGTCAGACATGACTAGCAACTAATCAAGAACAACAAGGATATTTGACTGAAGATTTGTCACTCCATCTCAAGCAAGGTAAAAATCCATCTTTAATGCTTCTGCTACCCAGACAATTCTTTTTTAGGCTTTGCTCTGTAAGAGTATCTTCACGTAGCCCCCAGCATCACTGTACCCTCGCTGCCACCAAACTCTTTCCCTTCTCCAACTTTCCACACCCCTTTTAAGTAAGCTAGTCCCTCTCCTTGGCATTCACATGTCAGCCACTCCATGTGGCTCATTTTGGTATTATCTCCAAACATATTTTTAATAGTCTCCCTGAAAAACTAAAATTGTAGCAAACATGACCGTTTTACTGGCAGGCACACATATATTCAACTGTGCTGTTGAAAAGTGAAAAGTGAAAGTGTTAGTCACTCAGTCATGTCTGACTCTTTGCGATCTCATGGACTGTATCCCAATAGTCTCCTCTATCCATGGAATTCTCCAGGCAAGAGTTCAGGAATGGGTAGCTATTCCCTTCTCCAAGGGATCTTCCCGACCCAGAGATTGAACACTTACATTGCAGGTGAATTCTTTACCGTCTGAGCCACTGGGAAGCCTTAACTGTGCTGTTGCCTTCTCCCCATTTTTCTAAAATGTTACTCTACAAATATCTTTAGTCCTTCTTGCATTTGTCCATGGCAATAAAAGTTAGAATGTGAGTGGCTACAAGACACTGGGACACTTTGTGTCCCATAGTCTGCTTGGAGTCTGTGGTGCTGTGGTTTTTAGTAAGTAATAAACATATTTGAGTTTTAACAGAGAAGGAGATGTCTCATCTTCTCCCCCAGTCCCCACACCTTCCAGGTGGAAGGGACTTTTGGCATCACCCAATTCAGCCCCCAGAGTTTGCAGATGAGGGAACTGAGGCTCAGGGCAGGAAACTGACTTTCCCAAGGTCACACAGCTTAATAGCTAGACAAGATTTGGTGTGTTTTTTTTTTTTTTTCTGTTGAGCTGCATGAACTGTTTGTATATTTTGGAGATTAATCCCTTATCAGTTGCTTAATTTGCACATATTATATCCCATAATTTGTTGTTGTTGTTCAGTTGCGAAGTTATATCCAGCTCTCTGAGACCCCATGGACTGCATGTAGCATGCCAGGCTTCCCTGTCCTTCACTACCCCCCGGAACTTGCTCAAATTCATGTCATTCAGTCAGTGATGCCATCCAACCATCCCATCCTCTGCCGTCCCCTTCTCCTCCTGTCCTCAATCTTTTCCAGCATCAGGGTCTTTTCCAGTGAGACAGCTCTTCACATCAGGTGGCCAAAGCATTGGAGCTTCAGCTTCAGCAACAATCCTTCCAAAGAATATTCAGAGTTGATTTCCTTTAGGACTGACTGGTTTGATCTCCTTGCTGTCCAGGGGACCCTGGAGAATCTTCTCCAACACCACAGTTCAAAACCATCAGTTCTTCAGCACTCAGTCTTCTACATGGTCCACCTCTCACATTCGTACATGACTCCTGGGTAAACCATGGCTTTGACTAGATGGACCTTTGTCGGCAAAGTGATGTCTCTGCCTTTTAATATGCCATCTAGGTTTGTCATAACTTTTCTTCCAAGGAGCAAGCATCTTTTAATTTCATGGTTGCAGTCACCATCCACATTATAGGGGTTGT